AGGAAATTTAGGGTTAAGCTTATTTCTATGGTCCTGTGATGGCATTGGTGCTATTAATCTTAATTCAGCAACCAAATTAATAATTGGTCTCAGGCTTTGAGATGCATTCGCAACGATTCAGCTGGTATTTCAGTCACAACATTCCCAACAACAGGAACATTGACTGGGATTCTCAGACCGACAGGGTTCTCACACACTGGCCAGAGAATGAGCAGGGAGTTCATGTCAATCCCCTTTCCTCAAACATTTGAGTGACCAATGTCAAGCCTTCCTGTGATTGAGTTCTACAGTGTCAAAAGCTGCTGTCCAGTCAGCTACTGGCAGTTCCTCGTGGTGCTAGGGCCAACATGAGCAAAGTTGGTGGTAATACACTTGCTGAAGGCCCAGGGTCATCATGGAAGCCCAGGTCGAGTGAACATGGGATGGGGGAGAGGGGGGGGAGAGGAGTTTGGTTAATACAAGTGTATGAATTCAAAGATGCCGAAAAGTGAGGCATAATTTTTAAATAATTTAATCAAAAGTTAGATTCTGATATATGGAGAATGGTAAGAAATGTCAGCTGTGTTAAAACCCTAGGTCAGAAAGTATTCGGATTGTTGGCTGATTAGAAGCTTGAATAAGCAATTTTGTCTGCTGAACTCTGTGATACGACAATAGCAAAGATAGATATCTATCTCATGTTAACTATGTTAGTTAGCTCAAGGGTCTTCTACTTGATAAACAAGAACACCATTCATATTTGCAGTACTGTATTGAGCAGTAATGAAATAATGGCTAACCAGGTCAACAATGAAACGTTAAACATTTAGGTTTGTTAAGATGAGGTTTCACCCAACTGCAGGGTAAACTAAACATTCAGCTAGTATGGCATAAAGCTGAACTCAGAGGGTATGAGAAAATAGTGACCTTCAACACACAACCAAGAGAAAAGAAGGTGACTATGATCAACAGGAATGAACAGCAACAAGAGTAGACCAGGAGACAACAGCAGACCAGGAGACAACAGCTCAAATCGATCAGTGTTCATAAGAACAGATTGTTGTCTTGCTAAGCACCATTTTGTTATACTAGAGCTTGAGGGGAGGCAATGGCCTGGTCGTATTATTGCTGGACTGTTAATGCAGAGACACAGGTAATATTCTGGGGTTCTGGGGTCCTGGGTTCAAATCCTGCCACGGCAGATGGTGGAATTAAGAGTCTAACAATGACCATGGATCCATTGCCAATTGTTGGAAAAACCCATGTGGTTCACTAATGTCCTACAGGGAAGAAAACTGCCACCCTTACCTGGCCTGGCCTACATGTGACTCCAGACCCACAGCAATGTGGTTGACTCATAACTGCCGTCTGGGCAATTACGGATGGGCAATAAATGCTAGCTGAGCCAGCATCGCCCTCATCCTGTGAATGAATTAAAAAAAAAGCTCCCCACTGCTTCTCCCAAATGCTTTGTACCTGGTATACTGTAAACTAAAGATCGTAAGTGTTTAAGGAGGCCCTCTTCTGCGTGATGCCGGTCTGTGTCTGATCACAAGAGAAACCACACCGCACCACCCACTCCAATATGTTCCCCATTCCAGGAGGCTGTTCAGGAAGCACAGGAAAGTTTATAGCTCCCATTTAATCCTTGAGCTACCACTAAATTGCAACAGGCTTGGAGGCAAAGGAGCATTGGTCTTAGAAGCAAAAGTAGGCCATTTGGCCTTTTGAGCCTGACCTATCATTCAGTAAGATCATGGACTATCTGGTTGGTGTCTCAACCCGATCTCCTCTTTCCTGTCTGTCCCCATAACATGTGACTTCACTGTCTGTGAACAATCCATCAAACTCGGCCTCGAATAAATTCACTGACTCATTGGAGGAAACATCCTCAGGGTAAACGTTATCCCGTCCACACAAGATTTTACACATTTTAGGAAAATCAGCTTTTCCTTCTTCTAAACTCCAGTAGGTATAGGCCAAACCTTTTCAACCTTTCTTTATAAGATAATCCTAAGGTTAAGATAGAGTGTGATGATTGAACTTCCTCTGAACTGCTTCTAATGCAATTGAATTTTTTTTTCCCCTAAGTAAAGAGACCAAAATTGTACACAAAACTCCAGATGTGGTCTCACCAACATCCTGTACAGCTGCAATAAATCTTCTCTGATATTATATTCCATTCTTGTTGGAATAAACTACAACATTCCATTTGCCTTCCTCATCATTTCTTGCACTTGCATGCTATCTTTATGTAATTCAAGTACCAAGACACACACATCCCTCTGTACCATCAAATTCTGACAGCTTTTCCACTTACACAGTATACTGCTTTTTAATTCTGCGTGCAAAAATGGACATGTTTTATTTTCCCCAGATACCGCTATTTGATAATTATAGTCATGTGTACCAAGATAGTGAAAAGTATTGTTTTGTGTGTTAATGTGACAAATCATATCTTACACAAGTGCACCAGGGTAACAGAACAAAATTCAAAATACAGTGTTATGGCTACAGAGAAGGTACAGTGAAAGATCAACTTTAATATACGAGAGGTCTGTTCATTAGTGTGATAACAACGGGTAAGAAGCTGTTCTAAAACCTGTTGGTACGTGTTTTCAAACTTTTGTATCTTCTGCCCGATGGAAGAGAGTATAACTGGGGTGAAAGGGGTCTCTGATTATGTTGGCTGCTTTTCAGAGACAGCAGGAAGTGTAGACAAAATCAATGGAAGGAAGGCTGGTTTTCGTGATGGACATTTACCCATGTTATATTTCCATCTACCAAATTAGCAACCATATATTCAGTCTCCTCATCCAAATCTTTGATACAGCTTATTAATACCTAAGGACCCATCACTATTCCATGTGGCAATCCAACAGTTAAAGCTTTCCAACCTGAAAAATATCCATTTATCCCCACTTTCTACTTCCTGTTTGGTAACCAATCTTTTACACTTGCTGATATGTTACCCCATTCGGCAAAATTAATGACTCTTTACCTAAATACTTCTGGTATTCAGAACAAAAAAAAATAGAAATAATTGGTATGATTTTCTGGCCATATGGAGACATAGTTACAAGGAGATCAAAGCTGGAAACTAGTAAGAAATTATCTCTGATTGGAAGGTGTCGAATCCACGTGGATGGAAATAGAAATAACAAGGGAAAGAAGATCCCTGTGGCAGTAGTTGAGAGAGTATTGGCAAAGATCTGTAGCTCAGGTTGTGGATGAGGTTGTTGACTTGCTCACCGAGCTGGCTTGTTCTCGTTCAGATGTTTCGTCACTATGCTAGGTGACATCATCAGTGGAGCCTCCGATGAAGCGATGTTATTCTACTCCGCTTGGAATTTATACTGTACCATCTATCGGACAGACAGGAAAGAAACTAGCCATCAGAATACACGAACATCAGCTAGCAGCAAAACGGCACGATGAACTCTCCTTAATATCTGTACATTCCGACAATGAAGGCCATCAGTTTAACTGTAACCATCGTAGCCCAAGCCAAACATAGACAAGCACGGGAATTCCTAGAAGCATGGTTCTCCACCCATACTTCAATCAACAAACACATAGAATTGGACCCCGTACAGATCAAACCCGGAAATGACACTACTCACCATAACAGACTGGACAGTATAAATTCCAAGCAGAGTAGAATAACATCGCTTCATCGGAGGCTCCACTGATGATGTCACCTAACATGGTGATGAAATGTCTGAATGAGAACAAGTCAGCTCAGTGAGCAAGTCAACAACCTCAGTAGTTTATAGACTCCCTAACAGTGGCTATTCTGTCGGACAAAGAATAAATCAGGAGATAATGATAGAAAGTAAAAATAAAGGCACTACCATAATCATTTATGACTTTAATCTTCATGTAGATTAGAAAAATCAAATTGGCAGAGGTAGGCACAAGCAAGAATTTGGGGCAGTTTCCTAAAACAATGAGCAGTGGATTCAACCAGAGAAGAGGCTATTTTAGATACGGTAATCTGAAATGAGACAGATTTAATAAATGACCTCAGATAAAATATTCCCAAGGAAAGAGTGACCATTTCTTGGTAGAATACAGCATTCATTTTGAGTTTGAGAATATAAAACTTGGGTTGGATGCAACTGTGCAAAACTTAAATAAGGGTAAATACAAAGGAACGAGGGCAGAGTTGGCTGGAATGGACTGGGAAAGGAGTTTAACAGAAAATAAATGATTGATGAGAAAAGGCAAACAATTAAGAAAAAAATGTTCATGGCTCACAAGAAATATATATCCTAGTGAGAAAGAAGCAATCTAGGAAGGGGATAAACCAATCATGGCTCACCAGTAATTTAAGGGCAGTATCAAATTGAAAGGAAAAAAAAACATACAATGTGACAATGATTAGTGGTGAGCCAGAGGATTTGAAAGTTTTTAAAACCAGCAATGGATGACCAAAAGTAATGAAGAGGGAGAAAATAAACTTTGAAGGTAAACTAGCAAATAATGTAAAAATGGACAGTAAGAGCTCTTTAT